TTGCTTATTAAAAATTTTTTTGTTTTGTGATTCTATTGTAGAATTTTGTAAAAAATCAGACCTTTCTAAAGGATCGGGTTTATCTAAAAGATCGGGTTCTTCTAAAAGATCAGGTTCTTTTAAAGGATTTGAAGGTCTTTTATATATTAATACAAATGTTCTTTTATGATGATCAAAAAACTTTGTCTCCCAAAATTGATCATTAAATAAATGAGCTAAAGTATGATATGCTACTTCTCCACAAAATATACATTTGTACTCTTGTTTTTTTAAATTAAAATAATAAATATATCCTCCAAAAATTGCAAAAAATAAACTTTTGCTACATGGAAATGTAATACTTTATTTACCTATAAAACAAAAGTGCAATATTAAATTATTTGAATTAAGTTACTTCAAATTGCATAAAAAAATAGTAAATTTATTTACCTGTAGATTGGAAATGTAATTTGAGTCATTCTTTAATCATAAATACAATTGTTTTTCTAAATTCATCCGTAGCATTTACAAATAATATATAATAATCATTAGGTATAGTATTATATGTCATAATAGTTTGTTGATGCTGAGAGTATGCTGCTTCTCTTTTATATTGCTTATTGTATATAGGATATTGATAAGATATTCCAACTCTTGGAATTGTATAAGTTGTTTTTAGAGGTGTTAGTGAAAGCATATTACTCATAATTGATAAATAAATTTAATTATTAGAATATATATTAGATAAAAAAAAAATAAAACAAATAAAATTACTAAATTATATATTACTATTTCTAATATATATCTTCTCAAGTTAACCAGGCAGAACAATGGGTTTGATATATAGACAATGGGTTTAACGTCTCTTTAATTATTAGTTTTTTTTTTGTTTTTTTTCATCAGGGTATCAAGATTCTAAAATGGAAAATCAAACCTGATATTTATATGATTTTAATGTAATACAACTGTTTTTTTTTATCTTAAATGTTACTGATCTGCGATAATGACATTATTTTTGTTGATAATTATTTATAAAAAATATAAATTTAATATAAATTATTTTATTTATTATTTTTACATATTATCTTTTTATTAATTAAAATATTTTTTAGAATAGTTTTTAAAATTATATTTATAATGAAAATTTTTATTTTATTTTTATAAATATTATTAAATAATTATTTTTTAGATAAAACCTTTATAAATAAATTTAACAAAAAAAAAAAAGTATATTTTTAATAAAATAGATAATTTTAATAAAAATATTTATTAAATTAAATTTTACAATTAATATAATTAGTATAAAAATTTTGTAATTTATAATTATAATTATAATTTCTTATTAAATTATATATAAAATTAAAATTAATTATATAAATTATTAAAATTATTAATTTTAATTATAAAATAATTACTTTATATTATATTATATTATATAATATTTATTATTTTAAAATATTATAAATATTTAAGATTAATTATATTGATCAAAAATAAATTTATTTATATTATTTAAATAAAAATTTAAATAATAGTTATATTATAAAGAATTTTATAATTTATTATTATGATAATGCATCATCCTATCATATAATTGATCTAAATTATGAAATTTTAAGCAAAAATTATAAAATTTTAAAAATGACCTATGTTAATAGAAAGAATGTGATAAATATGTTTTTTTAGATGAAAAAATTTTAAGTTTGTGAAATATATAGTAAAATTGAAAAATAAAAGATTGTGATATAAGTGATAAATAAAGATGATATTACAACTAGCTGCAACTATATGATGTTTATTTATCACCAGTTGCAACTAGTTGTAACTCAATTTTTATTAATATTGCAACTAGTTGCAACCTTATGATGCTTATTTATCACCAGTTACAACTAGTTATAATGCCATCTTTGATAAATATAGTTACATAATAAATTAATATATCATTAATAATAATAAAATATTTTTCTATTATAAATATGTATATTTATTTAATTATTAATTATTTTATAGTAAAATAAAGAAAATCTAAAAAAATTTTTTTGTATTAATTAAATTATTTATTAAAAAAAATTCATATTTAGTATAAAAGTAAAATTTAAATTTTTTTTTGTAATTTCTCTTTTTTATTACAAAAATTTATATTTTTCTTTTAATTATAAAAATTATAAGTTAATTTTTTAAATTTTTTATAATTTAATAAGTTTTTATTGATTTTTAACTTAAAATTTACTTATTTTTTTTATTTTGATTTTTATTTAAATATATTATTTTTTAAATAGTAAACATAAAATTATTTATAAAATTATTTAAAAACTTATAATATTTTAATAGTTTAGGATGGTATAAGATTAATTTTGATTTAGTTTAGATAGAAATTTTTGTATACTTTCTTTTATAATTTATAATTTTGTATGATTTTACTTTATTATTAATAAAGATTATGTAAAACTACTGCATGTTAAAAAAAAAATAATATTTTAATATTTTAAATAGTAATATTTTTATATTTCTAAGATTAATAAATAGATGAGTTTAAAAATTAAATTTTTATTATAATTTTAAATGTTTTACTGAATCCAATTTATTGAAACCCTCTTTATTATATAATATATTATCTTTAAAAAAATTATTAGTTAATTACATTTTTTTTAAGAAAATATCATAAAATTTAATATAAAAGTATTAATTTTTTAATAAATTATTTTAAAATTTTTAAAATTATTTAATTTTTAAATAAAATTACAAATATATTTATCTATAATACTATTAAAGAAATAAGTTTTATTATAAAAATATTAACTTTTAAAAATGTTAAAAATTTCTAAGTTTACTGTATTCTTCTAAAAATAAGTAACCTCTGAATACTAGTCGAAATAGTCCAAATCAGCTAAAAATCAGATGGCTGATTTTAGGCCGATTTTGATACTATTTATGGCTAATTTGCCATATTTTCTGATTAGCATAAACAAGTGCCGATAGACGCTGATCGACCCCAATTGGACATGGCCATTTAGAACTTAAATTCAACCATAAATCAGCCTAAAACTGGCCTCAATTCGGCAATAATTAAGACGTCGATAAACGCTGATCGACTCCAATCGGACATAGCCATTCAGATTAAATTCAACCATAAATCAGCCTAAAATTGACCTTAATTC